TATATATATATATTGTTTGTTTGTTTGTTTGTTTTTGTTTTTGTTTTTGGTACCGGGAATCAAACTCATGACCTTGTGCTTGCCAGGCAGGCGCTGTGCCACTGAACTAAATCCCTGGCCCTGAAGTAAAATATTATGTGTAAATTCATCCCATTAATAACATCTTAATGGAAAAACAAGGATTTTTTAAAAGGATTTTTTCACCTTTTTCTGAGTATATTTGGAGTCTTATTTCTGATAAATAGTATTTTTCCTTGATAATCAATATTCAGAAGACCAAGAAAGTCTCTGAAAAAATTCTCACTGAAATATTTATTGATTTTTCAATAATCATTTACCCTTTGTCTAAATGTATCCATTCTTTAATTTTCATACTATAATTTTTAAGTTTAAATAACTAAAGAAAAATCCAGTATTACTTGCCTACAAGTTCCAAATAAGTAAACTGAAACGTAGCTACAAAAAAGTGGAATATATACTAAAATAGATTTTATCTTAGCAAATATACACTATCTAAAAGAAGGAAGATGAAAATCATAACTCTGTAAATCAGACTACATCCAGAATATTATACTTAATTTTAAGTACAACACTAAAAGAAAGAGAGAAATTCCCTAATTGAAGAAGGCCCTTATATAACTTCAAAAAAATAAGTGACCTCGAAGTTAACGAGAAGTCAAAAGTACCTGGAACATTTATCCTTACTAGCAAGAAAAGGTAAATTGATAAGAAATCATACAAGGAGGAAGAATAACAAGCAGGTGGGAAGTAGAGAAATTTAGGTCAGTTTAAGAACATTTTTAGGGGGGAAAATGTACTAAAACAAAACTTAGAAACAGTGACTTCTTTATGACAAGAAATGTTCGAGCAGAGGCAGTAACCATTTGACAGAGACATTTAATATAGTCCCACCTATGGTATTCACTGAGTGGCATAGCTGGCAGGTACATTAGATCTAAGAGAACTTTAACCTTATGAAAAGAGACTTAATGATTTTAAAATATGGAAAAAAGATGAAATAGTCACTTTTCAACTTACCTTTTTTTCCTCTTGCAGTTCTATTTCTTCATAAAATCGTGGGATGTTTGGGCAATAATTTTGCTGTTGGTCTTTCTTGACATTAATATTTTCACAATGTAGTATCTTTTCCCTTTAGAAAATTAATATATAAATGGAGAGTTCTCAATTTTAAACACATAAACATTTACACAAGCAAAAAGAATGTTATAACATTTCTTGCTTTAAAAGTATACAATAACAGAAACACATTAGATTAGACTAATACATTCAAAATTTTGTAAAAATGCATGTTTTATGTTGGTTAGTTCTGCTCTTTCTAGTTCTAAGCATTATTATAAAGTTGTGCTAAGTTTCTCTATAGAGAATGAGACCTGAGAGTTATATCATGCATTGATATAAAAAGCCACCAAAATGTTATTTCCTGTGTATTCTACAAGTTTAAAATTCTAAAATCCCTGGCATTTCAACTCCTACTAAAATAAGGGGTGTAGGGTCTCTGCTATTAATATCCCAAGGCAATCGCAAAAAGGGCATAAGGAGCTCATGAAAGAAACTCTTTCAATGAAATGTAGACAACCTCGAGAGAGTAGTGAGAGTTCAAGCTTTGAGTCAGACAACCTGACCAGAATCTGTGTTGCCTTAAGCAAATCTCCTTCCTTCTCTCAGCTTCAGATTCTTCATCTGTAACAGAAACACTAATCACCAGTTCTCAAGAATGCAATGATTAAAGTGGACAAAACACCTGAAATGTTTAGTGCCACACAGGGCCCATAATAAACCCACAATAACTGTTAGCTACAATTATGGCAAGAAATATTTACACATATATCGTCTATACTATTATTTTCAATCAGAATTTCTAAGAAATCTGATATCCAATATTCAAAAAAATTATACTCAACATGCAAATACTTAAAAATAGATAATAGAAAATATAAAACAAAAGTTTGTATATAACAATTGCCATTTTTGTTAGCAGTATTATGATTTAAATATGCATTTACCATCTCAGCTCACTATTAAATAATTTTCATTTTATTTGCACAAAATTCAAAAACTAAGCTTGTCTTCAAAACCATACATGGGTTTATAGATAACAAATTTGTATTTGGGATATCAGAGATGTCAGGCATCATTTAGGTCTCTGTCTTTCCAAAATAAACACCCATAAGCATATTCTTCCACTTAGGGTGGCCAAGTGTCGTTGGTACTTTGTCAAATCTTTCAGAACAATTCTGACTCAATAAATTAAACTCCAAAATGCAAATACAACAAAACAAATAAACAAAACCAAGTAGAAAATGTCAAGTGCCAGAAAGAACCAACACAAACTTCTAAGAAAAGATACAGTGAAGGCAGTCTAGCCAAACAGTACATTATGAAAATAAACAACTGAAGCAGTTAAGAATGCACTTTCTATGAACTCATTCCTGCAAGCAAAAGAGGAAATATAGGGGAAATTTAAAACAGACCAAAGAAAGGAATAGCAAGGGGAAAAAAACATGGGAAAATTGGAAGTGGGACGAGGTTGGGAAGTAAAAAAGAATGGTAGGAAAAACTATCGAGCAACTTCAGAGCTGACTCTGATTGAAGTCCTCAGTGTTTGCTGTTCTTTAACCTCCATGAGACAGGAGAGAGGAGGCTGGGAGGCAGACCATTCAATCTGGGGCCAAGGTAGAAATACTACACAACAAAGGCATAAGTCATAAAGGGGGTGATCAGAGCTATACAGTCTATAGATCGTGTTCAGAAGAATGGCAATGATACATGTACAGACTAAGCTAAATGTACAAGTTAACTTTCTAGCATAACTATGAAAAGAATAAAATACAAAGGTATAGATTTCATACTAGGAAAGGAAAAAATGAAAAAGGGCAATGGACTAGAATATAAAATCCAAAAAGACAAGGGTCATCCTTTATTCTTTTTATTCTCAGTTTCTAAGTTCATTACTGGCACACAGCATGAATTCAATGTTTCTCTGGCAGGGTAGTCCAAACAAGAGTCCAAGTTATGTCCATGCTATGGGAAAGAAAGAACAAGTCAGAAGAATGGAGACAAGAGCCAGGAGTAAGAGGAGGAATCTTGAGTCTCTTTTTGTAATTTTCTCTGACCTTTTGCCTACTTTATAAGAAAGCACAGTATAACTTTGTACTTAGATAAATAGGCTGTACAAATAAACAGGTATCTGCTAAAGTCTAGCTCTGCCCTTTCAGTGGCTGCATGATCAGTGTTATGCATCTTCTCTGATCCTTGGACTTTTCACTGATAGAACATGAATAACCATAGTAACTACAGAGACTTGCTGTGAAGATTAAATGAGGTAATACACACAAAGCAGGTGTCACAGATTTGGCTCATTTAAAAAGTAACAGTTTTCAACACAGATTACTTTAAAATGCAGTATTTCTCAGAGTTTTTCCACACTAATTTTTCTTTCTTAATAGGATAGCCTAGCCTGAGTGCATGGAATACTTTATAGTTAAGCAGTGTATTATAGGTATAGTTTTGTTTTTACTCACTTTACTATTTCATACTGTCCAGGACCAGGACCTGACTTTTTAGGTAACTCCTGTCTTCCTGGAGAGTTGCCAAAATGTACACCTTTGTATTTCAAAGTTGCAATGGAAACATCCTAACCAAAAAAAAAAAAAAAAAAAGAAAAGTTAGCAAATAAGTTACGAGACAATATTTTTATGTAAGACTAAATCTAAAGCAAAGATGGCCTCAATCAAAGGAATTCCACAGGTAAATTTTAGTGTTCTTTAATAGGTTCCAAACTGATTTGCCCCTATTAGGTCCCATCTCACTCCACATCCACCAGGTCTCTTGAGAAGTACCTCTAACGTCAGCACATCCTCAACCAGCATGCACAGCCTTGTTCTTGGCAGCACACTCAGTAATCTAAAACCTTAAGGGCAGTGAAAATTAGCTGTTCATCTTTCTAAAAGGAGGGAGGGAGGCTATATTATTTAGAAAAAGGAAACATCTACTAAGAATTATCTTAATTGAACAGACTGGAAATAAAAACATCACCAACTGACATTAAATAATTTACAATTACTATGAATTTAAAACAATGTTCATATAAATAGTTAACAATAAATGAAGTGCTAAACCAGTTCATTTTTTTTTTTGCTAATGCTTGAGGACAAGATGAGCCTTCTAATATGAAAAAAAATATTTGTGACATACAAAATCAACCATAATTTTGCCTTCACATCCACTATAATAAGCGTACAACATAAAAAATGAAGGCATATGGATTCATCAGAAACTAAAATAATGAAGTAGCTTCTCTTGTAGGAATTATCTGTGCTAACTTAATACATTCCTAATTAAGCAATGATTTAAGGATTCTTTTAAAAACTCATTTCTTAACTAATAGGAGTAAATTCTACTTTTTCAATTCATTTGAAAAACTGTATTTGTAAAAATGTAGTTTTAAAACAAGCTCAGGGCTGAGCGTGGTGGTGCAGGCTTGTAATCCCAACACTGGGGAGGCTGCCACAGAAAGGTCGCAGTGAGTTCAATGCCGGCTGGGTCTACATAGTGAGTTCCAAGTCAGCCTGGCTCGGTGTGGTGGCAAACACCTGTAATCCCAGCACTCAGGAGGCTGAGATGGGAGGTTTGCCATGAGTTTGAAGCTAGCCTGGGCCCCATAGCGGATTCAAGGCCAGCCTGAACTGCATAGGAAGACCCTATCTGAAATAAATAAGGTCAGGTTATTAAAATAGTTAGTATATATTGAACAAAATCCCCATAACATAAATAATAGTTTACACAGAATGACGTGTCAGGCTTTCCAAGTGACTATTCCTATTCAAGAGCAGCAGAACCAACTCCTCTCAATTATCATTATAAACAATAGAGCAATAAATACCAATAATAATGAATAAAAATGGTGAACCAACTCATATTTGTCCCACTTCACCCCAAAAGTATAAAGAAGTATACAAAATAGATGCAAATTATCAGTGCTACAAATTAGAAAGTACCTATCTGTAAGGAATTTCTAGAAGTTGTAGCACATCAAAGACTAGCATGAAAAAAGGATCCACACATGAACTCTATTATCACCAGAAAAACAGAAACGAGACACAGATGGACTCGTGGTAGTGAGTGGGCACAAATTTCTAAGTAGAGATACCACTCCAAAAATCCGTAGAAAGCAAAATCCAAAAACCAGCTGGCAAAATTGAGTATTAGAGGTACTGGTAGAGAAATGCAGTCATCAGTTAAGTCCACATAGGACTCAGCACATTTGGGAAAGTTTTGGAACTTACAAACCAGTCAGAAGGTCAATGTAAACCCTAAGGCTATGGGAAGCAACTAATCACGATGACCCTCATCAGGTAAGAAAATCTTACTGTCAAAAGAGTGGCAATGTGAAGCATCATTTTATGTTGACTGAATTTGCCTTCTAACACACAACTCTCACTGGATTTATGCCTATATATTGTTGGGTACAAAGAAAAACTATACTGAAAATTTTACAGAACCGTTTCATTTAAAACATTGGTAAAGATCAGTACTACTTTTAGATCCTTCTAATAGGACACAGCACAGAGACAAGCACCATCTTTCCCCTACTCCATGCAAGCTTATGCTGCAGTTTTAGCTGTGGCAGAGAACACTGGTAGACATGTCCAGCAGAGGGCACCAGCTGGTAATAGACCAAAGTGCTGGTGCAGCAGCAGCTGGACTCAGTGAAGACAGACTTCCTAGGCTCCACAAAATACTCCACCAGGCGGACTCTGTGAAGGTCCTCTACACTGACAGGGGAAGACAAGAAACACTAATATTGAACTATAAACATTACTGTTTATTTTCATGGCTCTCCTTAGCAGAGTACCTGCCTATTATGTAAATAAAAAGGATTAATCCTTATTTCTTACAGAAATATTTCTAGTACTAAGTGTGGTCTCAGTGTATTTGGATAATTAATCTGCAAACTGCTTCTAATGCATTATGACACAAAGAATAGAGTGGTATTTTTCCATCCTTCACTATGAATTCAGCTTTAATACCGTAAGTGATGTATGATTCAGTCATGTAAAGCACTGCATCCAAGTAGGTATTTTATTATTATTGCAAGTGGGGATTCTAAATGATAACCAATTCTGAAGCCTAGCCCATTGTTAGGTCTTTAAAGGACTAAGACTGTAAATAAAAACTGAGTTATTCCACAAAGCTCCATAACACGTGGCATATATATATATATATATATATATATATATATAATCACTATTTTGGGAACTCTAAATATAACATGAAAAGAAATTAGACAGAGTATCCAAAGGCTTTTGGTGGTCTTAGTTACTTTTCTCTTTTTTTATTTTAAAGAGAACAATAAAAACAATACAGAATTTCAAAACGAGATGATAGGAAATTAACAATATCTGTCATATTGCATATTGTTATCTTTAAAGTAGTTGTTCAGATTACCAGATATAGGCATGCAAAATCGACCAAACAATTAGGCATTAACTGTTCCTTTCAATAAACCAATAGAAACTAGTAGGACAATTATCTTAGCTATCTTGTGTGTATATATATTTTTTCCCTCCCTTCTTTCTTTCTTTTCTTCTTTCCCCCATCCCAGTTGTTCTTTCCTTTTGAGTAGTTTCTTTCCCTTTCACAATATCTATTGTACCTTTCAGATTTTTTTCTTTCAGTTTCTTACACTGGGAAACAATATGAGGTTTGCATATGTGGGTCTGATTTACTTCACTTTTGAGTATGGTCTCTAGTTTCATCCATTTAGCTACTTTTCTTGTTGAGACAAAATTAAAGGAAGCAGCACTCAAAGGTAAAGGAAGAAAGGTTTATTTGCCTCACAGTTTCTAGAAGTTTCAGTCCATAATCAGCTGGCTCCAAGGCAGGGTAGTACATGGCAGAGGGGCCATTCATGGTAGCAGAAGACAGTGAAAACAATAAGTGAAAGACAAAACTCTTTCTGTCCCTTATACTGTATGCAGAATACTCACCCTAGGTGGATTTAGCACTCACACTCAATCCCAGCACCCGTAATCCCAGCACTGCACCACCAATCAATCAAACACTCTAGATTCAGCCACCTCTGAAAAAGCCCTATGACCTCATGAGGCTTTGGGGGAACATCTAGACAGAAACCATAATGTTCCAACCCTGGCCTCCCAAAGACTTAAGCATATCCCTTCATGCAAAAGACATTTAGTTCATCTCAAGAGTTGACAAATTCAGCATTGCTGAAAAGTTCAAGTCTCAGATCTCTGAGATTTAAGGCAAACTCTTATCTGTAAGCCCCTATACAAATGAAAACAAAGTCTAACATTGCTAACATTCAATGGCATGAGACAGACATTTCCATTCCAAAAGTTAAAAAAGAGGGAATACAAGAAATGGGACCAAAGCAAGTCCAAACTCCAGCAGGGCAAACATTAAGTCCTGTAGCTTCATGTCCAGCATCCCTGGCAATCTGTGGAAAGATGTGAACTCTAAAGGGCTTGGGGGCTCTGTCCCTATGGCACTTCCAGTGGTTATAGCTCCCATGGCTTCTCTCTTGAGCCTGTTCTTCTCCCTCTTTGCAGTTTACCTCAGATGATTCATGTTCCTGGATTCTGAAAAATTCTGGGGTCTCCACTGTACCTTTGGCTTCACCTTCACAGCTTCACACACTGCCCTCTCAGGGGTATACTGCCTGGCCTCCCAGGCCTTGTTCTGAAATCTAGATGGAATCTTTCCTGACCCCACAACTCTTGCATTCTGTATGTACCTAAAACCAGCACCATGTGGATGATGCCAAGGTCTGATGACAGCTGAAGCAGTAGCCAGGCTTCCCTCTCTCTTGGTTGTGGGAATCTATTGTCTGGACCGTTGGGCACTCTATACAATTCTGAGGAACAAATACTCTAGGCTGTCAACATTCTGGAAAATGGTGTGCCCATCACCATTCAGAAACATGGTTCACATGCTGCCATTCCAGGACATAGTGTTCTGGAGTATTCTTAAAGCAAAGTCTTTCACTTTTACAGTCTTGAGGCAGCAAAGGGTAGAGTCCTACTGCTTCTTGTTATACCTTCAGACCGTCTTTTCTATTCTCTTGTTCCTTTTCAGTAATCAAGATCTTCTCTGCTTTATCTTTGTAGTCCAGGGCTTTACTGGAGCTTCCTTTCTGGCCAAACTCATGTTTTAATAATTCTGCTGGGCTCTTTGCTCTTGATTCTCAACATAAGTTTGGCTAAAAGCCCCCAAAAGTTGTCATGCCACCACTTCAACTTTAGAATACTTTGAAATTTTTTAGTCCACTGCCCATAATCTTAGTCTCAAATATCTTAGTCTCAGTCTTAAGTCTCTGACATGAGCAAAATGCAGACAAACTTTCTGCCAATGTATAACACCCACTGTCTGGAATTCAACTAATGCAGTCCTTCTTCCCAGCAGAAACTTCCTTACCCTGGTCTTTACCAGCAGGATTTCTATCAGCCTTCTGGTCTTCTGAGCTCTGACCACAATCTCTGATACAGGATGACCTAAGGTGTTCCAGCTCTACTTTTTCAGTCAGCATTTCTGAATTATTCCAAACTCTTCCCACAAGCCATTCCCAAAGGCTCCTAAACCACATAGTCCGGTATATCCACAGCACCAAATTCT